AACCCCCATTCCAAAAAATACTACAAGAAGCCCTCAAACCAAACCCAACAGGAGAATGAACAAGAACAGTTCAAAACAAGGAATAAAAATACCAAAGGACCAAAATGGCAAATGTAGGTGCCAGTATATCAATATTATCTCTAAATGCAAATGGCTTAAACTCATCAATAAAAGACACAGAGTTGCAGGATGGGTTAAAAAACAGAACCCAGTATTCTGCTGTCTGCAGGAAACACATCTAACTGCAAAAGATAAAAACAGATTGAAAATAAAAGCACGGGAAACAGTTCTACAAGTAAATGGACCAAAAAAGAAAGCAGGAACATCTCTACTTTTATATCAGATAAAATAGACTTCAAGCTAAAAAAGGTTAAAAGAGACACAAAAGGCCACTACATTATGATTAAGGGGACAATACAACAGGAAGACATAACAATCATCAACATATATGCACCAAATGAAGGAGCACCAAAATATATCAGGAAACTACTGTCATCTATGAAAACGTATATTAGAAAAAATACATACATAGTAGGAGGCTTCAATACGCCACTCTCCACAATGGACAGATCAACAAGACAAAAAATAAGCAAAGACACTAAAGCTCTGAACAAGGAACTGGACAACATACATCTATAGAATACTGTACCCCAAAAAATCTTAGTACAAATTTTTCTCAAATCCAATGAATCATTCTCTAGGATTGATCACATACTAGGTCATAAGATAAATGCCAATAGATACACTAAGGTTGAAATCATACCAACTATTTTCTCTGACCATGAAGGAAATCAAACTAGAAATAAACCACATAAGGAAGACAAGAAACTCACCTACCACATGGAGACTGAAACCCACACTACTGAAGGACCACTGGATCAATAAGGAGATCAAAGAAGAAATTGAAAAATACCTTGAAAAGAACGACAATGACGACACAAATCTCCAAAACTTATGGGATGCATTAAAAGCAGTTATAGGAGGAAAATATATAGCACTACAGGCTCACATAAAGAGACAAGAAATAACTCAAAGAAACAACCTAATGTCCCACCTTAAGGAACTAGGAGAAGAACAACAAAATAACCCAAAAGCCAGTAAAAGACAGGGGATAATACAGTCAAATCAGAAATAAATGAAATGGATGTTAGAAAAACAGTCCAAAAAAAAATTAATAAAACCAAAAGTTGGTTTTTCAAAAAAAATAAATAAGATAGACAGGCCACTAGCCAGGCTCACAAAGAAAAAAAAAAAAAAACAAGAGAAAGCACAAATAAACAGAATAATAAACGAAAGAAGAGAAATCACAACAGATCCAGCAGAAATCAAAAAAATAATCAGAGAATACTATGAGCAATTATCTGCAAACAAGTTGGACAGTTTAGCAGAAATGGACAAATTCCTACAACTCTACAACCACCCAAAGCTAGATAAAGAAGAAACAGAACTAAACAGGCCAATTACAAGCAAGGAAATTGAAGAAGTAATCAAACTCTCCCCAAAAATAAAAGCCCAGGACCAGATGGATTTACAAATGAATTTTACCAAACGTTCAGAAAAGAATTAGTACCTATTCTACACAGACTCATTCAAAAAAAATCAAAACAGAAGGAAAACTACCACATACTTTCTATGAAGCCAACATCACACTAATACCAAAACCTAACAAAGAAAACACAAAAAAAGAAAACTTCAGACCAATCTCCCTAATGAACACTGATGCAAAAATCCTCAACAGAATCTTAGCAAACAGAATCCAACAATGCATTAAAAGAATAATACACCATGACCAAGTGGGCTTTATCCCAGGAGCACAAGGATAGTTCAACATCTGAAAATCAATTAATTAATGTAATCCATCACATCAACAGACAGAAAAATAAAAAACACATAATCATATAAATAGAGGCAGAGAAGGCATTCGACAAAGTTCAACACCCACTTATGTTTAAGGCCCTCGAAATCCCCGGAATAGAAGGAACATACCTCAACATGATAAAAGCCATATATAACATTGGAAGTTCTAGCTAGAGCAATAAGACAGGAAAAAGACATACAAGGAATACAAATAGGGAAAGAAGTAAAACTGTCTTTATTTGCAGATGATATGTTAATCTACATGGAAAACCCTAAAAACTCCACAGAGAAGTCAAAACCATCAACCAGTTTGGCAAGGTAGCAGGATATAAAATCAACACACAAAAATCAGAGGCCTTCCTATACACAAACAACTAATCAGAAGAAACAGAAAAAAAAAACCCTTTTCAATTAAAACAAAAAGAATCAAATACCTTGGACTCAACCTAACAAAAGAGGTAAAAGAACTCTACAAAGAAAATTACAAAACACTGTTAAAAGAAATTCAAGAAGACACCATGATGTGGAAAGACATTCTCTGCTCATGGATCGAGAGAATTAACATCATCAAAATGGCCATCCTACCAAAAGCAATATACAGATTTAATGCCATCCAAATAACAGTCTACATGACATTATTCAAAGAAATAGAAAAAAATATTGATGAGATTCATTTGGAACAACAAAAGACCTCAAAGAGCCAAAACTCTCATGATTAGGAAGTAAGAGAATGGAGGCATTACAATCCCAAACTTCAAGTTATACTACACAGCCATAATAATTAAAACTGCATGGCACTGGAACAAGAACAGACATACAGACCAGTGGATTTGGATAGAAAACCCAGATATAAACCCACAGGTTTATGGACAGCTAAACTTCGACAAAGGAGCAAAGAAGATGCAATGGAACAAAAAAAGTTTGTTTAGCGAATGGTGCTGGGAAAACTGGGAAGCTACATGCAAAAAAATGAAACTAGATCACTACCTCTCACCATACACAAAAATCAACTCGAAGTGGATTAAAGACCTAGACATAAGAAC